CTTCAGACCGAACCCAACTATCCATAAGCCACTCCCCTTCAGACCGACCCAACATCCATTCACCACCACCAGGGTCAAGCTAAGCCCCTCCCCTTCAGACCGAACCCAACTATCCATTCACCACCACCAGGGTCAAGCTAAGCCCCTCCCCTTCAGACCGACCCCAACTATCCATTCACCACCACCAGGGTCAAGCTAAGCCACTCCCCTTCAGACCGAACCCAACTATCCATTCACCACCACCAGGGTCAAGCTAAGCCACTCCCCTTCAGACCGACCCCAACCATCCATTCATCACCACCAGGGTCAAGCTAAGCCACTCCCCTTCAGACCGAACCCAACCATCCATTCACCACCACCAGGGTCAAGCTAAGCCACTCCCCTTCAGACCGAACCCAACCATCCATTCACCACCACCAGGGTCAAGCTAAGCCACTCCCCTTCAGACCGAACCCAACCATCCATTCACCACCACCACCAGTGTCTAGACCCCGGGGGGGTTTCATCGGATCGGTTCTCCTGATACTCCTGCACAACGGGGCCTAATCGCCAAAACTCCATTACATTCATTCGTGTATTCCTGGCAATAAATATGTATTCTTACATCAAAACCGTCTCTCCTGATTGAAGGGTTGTTGTCTGATGAAGTTGCTAGTGAGGTTCAGAAATGTAAGAAATAAATAAGTGTCTAATAAATAACCTTGGCATCTTTTTTAAGTTATCTACAAACAATTAAACATAAATCCAAAATAATGTTGTTTTTTAATGTAATTTGACAGAGAAACAAAGTCACTTCTGAAAAGTTTCTACCAACATCAGGTTTTATTAAAACAAATAGCAATATTTGACACAATTATATTAAAAACTCAGAAACAGTATGCATGTTAAGGTGCTTATCAGATAAAATTAGGAGGAGGAGGATGAGGAGGAGGAAGAGGGTCATCCAGCAGAACTGTCACTCTGCTTGCTGCTGTGCGCCTCCTTCCTCTGGAGCACCTGATTGGACAAACTCTCCACATCCGCCACATGAGCCAGTAGCTGAGCGAGAGACGTGTTCTGATACAGAGAGAAGAAGAGGGTAGGATGGGTTTATTTTGATAAGTACATGTGGGATATTAAAGTAGGACCATGTGACTGACCAGCTGAGCGAGGCGGTCGATGGCGGACGGACTGCAGCGCACCGACGTCAGCTTCTCCTCCAGAGTCTGGATGAAGTCCAGCAGCATCTTCACCACGTCCACCACGAACCTGACACACAGAGGACATTTGAAGCTGGGGACAAGCCGGTCTCTTTCTGTGTTTCCAGCCGTCTACCCAAAAGACAACAGGGAAACTACCTCTGTGTCAGACCGATGTTACTGTGATGGAAACTTCTGAAGCAATGGAGACTCAGAGAGACACGGGGAGAGCAGGAACTTTGATGGAAAAACACTGATGGTTTATTTGGAGCTTCGGTCGGAGAATTCAAAAGATATGTTCTGCAGATCTCTACACTAGATCCATGTATTTAGCTAGTTCTGAGAGAATAACCAACATTGTGCATAACAAGATAAAACACTATAACACCTCTATCAGGCAGGAATAAGGAGACAAAACACTGAGAGAAGCTCAAGGTTTAGGCAAACTGATAAACTGGGTCAAAGTTATGGGCCTAGGAAAGTATTTCCCCAACAGTTACCTCTGCAGGTGAGCCTGGACGGGCAGGTTGGTTCGACCCAGAGGTTTCATCAGGCGCTGCCTCAGACTGTTCTGCTCCTTCAGGAGACCCTGCAGGTGGCTGCAGAACATCTGCAACATCTGGAACCTCCGAGCTGCACACACAAAGATATACTTGTTTAAATTATCTAATGATACAGCATATATATATAAAAATGTCATAGTGTTGGTTTAGTCTGCACATGAGATGTGTGGCTGGAACAATAAATCAACACACTGATGCTTTACATTTTTTGTTTAAAAATAGAAACACTCACAGAGGTAGAAACTGTTTGTGACGTCAGCGGTCTTCTTCTCCATCTTCAGTAGATCCATCTCAAGCTGCAGCTGCAGGAGAAAGAAGAACAAGGGAATTCAAACTAAGACATGACATTGATGTTTGATTAGAGAAAACAGCTCTTCGTGCACCTTCGGAACAAAATGTTCTGCAGGTTTAAAACGTAGCATCCTAAAACAAGTGTAAGGTAAGATCATGTGACGTCAGAGTGAAGCGTACCTGGTCCAGCTGTCTCTGCGTTCTGATTCGCTGTTCAGCCTCGTGCAGCTGATTGGAGAAGACGGGGCTCAGCCTGGAGGAGGCGGAGTCTATTTCCCCCTGAGGACAGGTAGAGACATTCATTTTTAAAGTGTTACTTCTGTGGGGACATGACTGTGGTTCAAAGGGACATCTGTGTGTTCAATCTGCATCTCCTTTTGGTTATTTTGTGTCTCGTTTAGGTTTTTTGACTTTCTTTGTAGTAGTTTTGTGTCTTTTTTGGTTATTTTGCTTCTTTTTGTGGTTTTAATATGTTTTCTTGCGATCATTTTGTGTTTAAATGTTGTGTTTTTCCGTGACTTCTTAACCGGAAACATTGGCAGTAACTTCAAACTAAGGCTCACTTATATACAATATTTCCAAGGTGCTGACAGAGCTAGACACTGTTTGGACCTCATGTTTTTATTTGACCATCAACTATGGATGGATTAATCCAGGCGTTAAAGTTCAAACCTGTGAGAGTCTTCATCATATGGGTGAGTTTCTCTAATACTTGTTTTTTCTGTTACTGACTAGATGAAAGAATATAAGCTCTGACCTGAGACAGAATATCTTTGGAGACACATCTGGCCAACAGGCTGGCAGCTGGAGTCACTGAGAACGGAGACAAATCCCACCGATGCATCTGAAACAAGGAGAAAAAACTGGTTAAAACAACAAAAAGGATAAGTAGCAGCATTATAAAATAAATAAATAAATGAAATAGCTGCAGGATGACGGTAGTAAATACTATATTTCCTAGTATTTAAGTATATATTGCACAGTTGTATGTTTTTACATAATAATAGATTACGAATAGATTTATTTTGTAAGCGCTTTTACAGGTGCTCAAAGTCCTTTTACAGAGATAGTGGCAAAAAAGAACAAACAAATAAATATAGTTAAGTCACATTAAAATCAAGCAATACAACAACAATCACACATTAAAAGCCAGAATGAAGATTGAATTTACATGTAGTAAAACATAAAAATACCAACAAAAACTTGAGTTGTGCTGTAAATAACACAAGCCCAATTGAAGATCAGTTCATAAACTCCAAATCATGTTGTATTTTCTTTTTTAAACCCCTAATGTTAAAACAGAGGACGAGTTAGTTTAAAACTAGTAGATTCTTTAAAGGGATTTGGCGTCAATGCAAGCTGTGGAGAAATGTGTCCCTGAAGAGTTGTTACGGTAAGAATCACTTTATGAAAATGTACACAAAACCACCAAAGTGTTATTAATAGTTAAGTGTTTCTTCTTACCGTTTGTTCAGAGAAATGCTTTGTGAAATATCAACAACAACCCAAACTAAACCCGCCCGATGGTTTGTTTTCTTCTTCTTTGGTGGTTTAACGGCAGCTGGAGTTGCACTACTGCCACCTTCTGGAGGGAGTTAACGATACATACAGTACAGTCGTTTTCTTTCAATCGTATTTTCCTTTCGATGTATATTTAATTTGGATGACATTTCATAAATAAAATAAATAGTGTCAGGGAATAATTTGCCATAGTGTCCTCCCTCGCCCTCTGACGCAGATGCCCACCCTTGAGCAGCCGTTATCTCTAGGGGCTGCCCTGCCCTAGCATTTGGTTGATGTTACCAGTTTATGACCGAGCAACTCTCGGTCAGAGATAGTTATTGTTGTGGGACACCTGGAACACACCCTTCTCGGGGTGTAGATGACCCCGAGCCATAAGCGACAACAACTGTGATTCAGTGTCCTCAGCTGTTTAGTCTA